TATAAAGTAAATGTGTGTGAAGCACAACTTCAACACTGCCTTTCATACTTAGTGGGTCGTTATCGCCATAAACTTCGTTTGCTAGTTATTTTATCATTTTCAAGTGGTTACTTCTTTGCATATAAGTAGATGAAGAGCATGAAACCAACGAGGAGTTGCCAAATGCTTTCTGTGAATAACTTTGATATTTTGTTGAAACAAAACTAACGTTTCTTCAACAATTTTAAGCAAATATGCAGATGAGTAGCAGCTTAGAAGGTGCGGTGAAAGTGCCTGTAAACTGATGTGGATAAAGGGTGTGTGTAGGAAAAGCTCTAAAGTAATACTGGCATTGAAATGCCTCGCTTTGCTGTCAGAAACTGTTGGGATATTAAAATATTCTGTGTTTTCTGTTAAGAAAATTAAAAAAAAAAAAATTAAAATTTATTACCACAAATTTAGCGCCGTCACCCTGTATGCTAATTTACTAAAGCGCTATGACAAGGCTTTAGCAAAATATAACTCCACCAACTTCAAAACTGCCAGCAACAACCAGATGCTCGGGTCGTTCAAGTATGTGTAGAAGTGTTTATGTGTATGTGTGCGTGTTTCTGTGCTCTTAGATATGTGTAAGCTAAAGTACTGCGCGGTATTTAGAAGTTTCTCTTTCGCAAATAGTTTACGTGGTTAATATTGCACTCACGGAAGACGTTGCGGCGAGCTGAAGATGCATTTTTCGCTGGAACGATGGGAAGGGTACTGAAAATCGTCTGTGTTAAGCAACATTCCGTAGCCAAGTGCTTAGCTGAGACTTTGCGTCTGCTGACAGCGCAATGCACTGTAAAATATTGGAAATGCGAGAAATGGAGTGTTGAGCTTTTTTGAAAATTGGGTGAAATTTGGGTAACGCTATTGACAAAAAGAATTCTGACCTGTCTTTTTATATGAACGAGAAAAATACTTTGCGGCAACGGAACGAATATTGAGTTATAAAAAGTAGACTTAAGAGCTCAATAGAGCGTTCCTTTAACTTAATAGCTTTCAGCGAAGCTAAAGTTAGTATTAGAGACAATGTTTTGTTTATGGTTGTATTATCCTTAGCCAATATAAATGTGGACTGAGAACACAAAACTTTGCCAGTTGCCTCTATACTTTGCGTGCTCATACCAGTTGTACAGGGCAAGTGCAAGCAGATCGTTATTGTTGGTCCATCTATTAGATGCATTGGCGGGCCCTTCAATAGAGCTTGTCTCTTAGTGAGCTCATTGCCTTCTTGCAGTTAAGGACTATGCTGAAATTAGTCATGAACGTCGAAAAGGCCAGGAGAGCCGCCTGGCTGTCCATATATATTGCTGTTTTATGTATCCTTTCGTAATTATTCGCTTCGCAGATCTTCTTTATCCCCAGTACTTGCGCATGAAGGATGCTTGCCAAGTTCTGTAGACGGATAGAGAGAGAAATGTCCTTCCACGGAATATACTCACGTGCCCACTCCGCAGTCCATTTTGGAAATGTCGGTATAGACTGAGGTGGTAGCTTCTTCCCCTATTATGCCCCTACTCCATTCTCGTCTAGAGGGTATCCTTACCTGAGTGTATATATTGAAATTCAGCATTGGCACTAAATTATGCCTGGCATACGGAACATGGTGGTATTATTTTGATAAAAATTCAAAACTCGAATACGAAATTTAATCATCTTAATTGTTCCCCTCTAATAAATACCATTTATAGTTTCTCTCAAAATTTCTTTTCAGTGTACGCGCTGGTGTTTGGCCAAGCTTAGTGTACTTCCTTAAACTATTTGAGCTGGGAACCGGTGTTTTTTTGAGCAGCTAAGGCATGTTGTTTCCCAAGTATTTGTGTTTCTTCTGCGCCCGAGTAAATTGAAATTAGTGTAGTTTAATTTAAGTTTCAAGCTCGCTAAAATACCAATGCAAACCAAATACCGACACACACATATATTTGTACATATGTAAACAGCAACAGTAAATTTATATGTACAAGTATATAGATCGTTATACATACATACGTGAGTCACTTGTATATATCGGTAGGGAAATGTAGCAGCAGCTGTATTTGCGGTTGCAAGCAGCGAAATCTTGCCACGACACACCCAAGTTAAGTTTATATATGTGTTCTTATCCATACCAGCACACGAGTATGTACTTCAGTTTTACATGACTTCTCAAGTGGCGTTGTAGCATAGTTTTCGACGGTTTAGCGTTCGGGTTGAAGAAATAATAAACTGCACTTTAGCGAAAATTCCGCACAACTGTAAACGCATAATTGCGGCAACATTCCACTTTACTTCGGCAAATGATTCCAACCACTGCGAACTCCTACGCTGCAGCGCCTAAGTATATACAACTGCCTACACACACATACATATAAGCAAATATTGCAGCACAAAATTATTTCAACTGCAAAAAAGGAAAACATTTTTGCTAAAAATACTTTTTATTTCGTGATTTCTACTCAGCATCGAAAGCACTGTAATTGAAGTGCCTGCTTGGCGCTCACTTGTAGGCTCATTTCTTTCTGCGCTTTGTACGCATTGTTGCATTGATGAGCGCAATGAAGCAGGCAAACAACATTGGTTTGCCTCAAAATGCTTTTGCATTGAATTTGAGTGCATAATGAGCATTTAGCATTTGCAACACAATGCAGCTGAACTTTCCATGTGCCACTTAACTCCGTGCCGCAGCCACATGCGCAAAGGCAATGCGTTGAGCAAGAGTTGTTGTAAAAAAAGTAAGAAAAAAAAAAAATAAATAAAAATAAAACATAAATTAAGGCAAGTGGTAGCAATAAAATTTTCAAGGATTAGTTAGTTAATCGTAATTCATTAAGGTCCCTACGCCTATAAGTAGGCAGCAACTGCAAGTGCACCACATATACATATACTTATATATATGTACTTCTGTATTTTAATAAAATTTCATTTCCACTGTGGTGCAATTTACTGGTGAGCACATTTCATGCATCTATGCGTTTGCCTTCCGTTTGCTGTATGTCAGGACATAATCTACCGCTTTTAATTTGCTAAGTTACGCTCAGATTGTACTCTCCCAAACTATTGTTATTTGAATTTCCTTTATAGCTCGCACTTTGCAAAATCCTTCCAAAATATTGGAAAACTGAAAAAAAAACAGAGCTGCGCCTGGTATGAAATTATACAGACTAAATTGGGTTAGGTTAGATGGGTCATCTTTTAATGGGGCAAGGGGATAACTATTGGATTGTTATGTAAAGTTCCATATGAAGCCACACAAATAAACTCCTGTAGTAGGATCTGAGGCAATTCGCTTTGAACATATCTAAAATCTGCTTAATTACTTTATTTCCATTTCCGCTATTTTACCTCAAAATCTAAAAGTATGAGATCCGAGTGGTTCAATGTATGAGATCCTTCACCTGACAATGGTCGCACATTTGAGCCGGAAGTCTTGAAATTATTCTATCTCCTCCTCTTTCAAACAATTAATGCAACTAGCATCTGGCTTTGTTGCAAAAGATAAGGAGTCTACACATCTCTTCACTTGTTTTGAGCGCACAGTAGACGACCTCACTCCTAATATCGCTGCTCTACTATCGGAGTGGATAGCCACCATTCTGAAGGAGGTTGCAATCTGGATCAACAGATCGACTGCTTCCTTCATGGCAGTTATTTCTATTTGCAAGACTCCACAGTGGTGAGGCTGAATAAAGCTGCAGTGGTCAGGAAGCTAATGAAGCTTTGATCTATCTGTTAAAAGCTCACCGCACCGTCCCATGCGTTTCTGTGTGAGCAGAGTCCACAAAGCGCACGCTAGCAGTTATCTAAGCACCCCTGTTTACTCCGGGGCAAAAATACCTTGCAGCTGCTCATCTTACCAATATTGAGCTGGTCTGAGGCCAAATAGTCTAGCATCGAAGCTGAAGCAGCCAACAGAACGCCTGATGTACCAGTCTTAGCAAGCCTTGCAGTTTCCTGCAATAACGTTGTGACCAGTTATACCAATCATACCATAAAATAGTTCGATGCTAGAGATAAGAATTGGTCACTGGTCTTGAGCGCACAGTCAGCGAGCTCAAGTCTGACCTCGCTGACCCACTATCGAAGTGGATGGATCACCACCCTGAAGGAGATTACACTCCGGAGCAGTAGATATACCACTAATTTTATGACAGCCACTAAAGCTGGAGCTGATCTATAGTCCCACCAGCCATCCCCGCAAGTCTTCAAGCATCACCAAAACAGCACACCGTCAATCTCCTTTAGCGAGTTCTTCTCTTCCATGTCTTCTTAGATGATATGTAGGCAGAGAGGCGAAAGTCAGGCTGGGTGCTCTGGTAAACCACGTGTTTTGGAATTGAATCAAAGTATGCTAGGATCCCAAAAAACCCTAGCTCACAGTCATCTCAGTTCACAGAATTTATGAAGTACACAGGAATGAAGTATATAAAATTATTTGTCAAATCGAGTCTTGAAGTCTTAAAAATATATGAAGGTATATAATTTGCAACAAAACAAGTCGATATTATTAGATGCGGTATTTTAAGTTTTTTTCGAAGTTTCAAATGCACAGAAGAAAACGTCAGAGACCTTATAAGGTATATATAGTATGATCAGCTTGGCGAGCTGAGTCATTTAGTCATGTCCGGATGTCCATCTACTCATGCGTCTATATGTATATATGCACATATATTTTCGAGATATCGGTTTGAAACTCTGCGTACGTTCTTTTCTCACGACAAAGCTAATCAATTCTCGGAAAAATGTGCAGGAAGTTTCTCTCTTTTCTAAAGATTTTTCCTTCTATCACACATCTCTGATGGATATTTCGTCTATCGTCGCTCATCTTTAAGTAGGCTCGAAATTTGTATAATATTTATTGAGTTTAATTACAAGAAAAGCAATTTAGTTGGACTAACATTTTCCACTTAAGCATCTTGAGTTACATGCGATAGGCCTTCAATATGATATCATTTTACCTTTATTCAATTAAGTTACTTACACGCTCGTTTGATTTAACTTACCCAGCGATAGTTTTTCTCCTGAATCTGGTGGCAGCGTGAAGCCCAGCAGCGCCATCGATGCGATCAGCACGCACGGTATGATCAAATTAAAAAAATAGTACAACGTGCGGCGACGAATGATGATCGCGAAGGTGATATCGATATACGGTTCGGGGCAGCAGTTGTAGTAGATCTCGTTACGCTTGCCAGGCACGCCTGCGATGGGTGAAATGGAAGATAAATTAGCAAGGAAAACAACACGAAAGAACACAACATAAAATACACCATTTCACTAAACGATGATGGAATATAAATACAGTTATTTACATATTATATATAATAGTAGTAAAGAGTGAACTCTTTAGGAAAAGCATGGAAGAAAGATGAATAAAATTTAAGCAGCTTAACTATTAGAGCTACTAACACAAACGTAAGCACTGGTGAAAGAGTTTAGCATGAAATTTATGAAAATAGTTTATGTACAGTTAACTTTAGTACGAAAATTCGAAAATCGTTTAGGTGAAAAGCAGTCAATGAAACAGTAATGAATGCGTAAGTGAAATAGAATTAGGCGAAGTAAGACAAAAGCGAAGTGAATGTGTGTGTGTGAATGCGAACGGGTGTGCGTGTGGTTGTAGTGTAAAGCATAGGTGTGTTGGTGTATTTCTTGTAGTGACCAATAATGATCTTATGAGTAGTGATTTGTGGCTGTTTAAAGCATGCATGACTGGTCAATAAATTCTGTTCTGGCTATAATAAAAAAATGTCTGTAAGATTATAAACTACTTGTAGGAAATTACATAAAATATGGTTGCTAAACATATTGTAAGTGTGTGTATGTTTATTGTGCTATTAGCTCAAGGAATGTTGCTTGAATGCTTGTGTGTTGTATATGTAGGTTTCTTAAGCAATGTGCGCATAATCTAGAATGTAAATATTTGATATAGAAATGAACTGAAAATCATAAATTCCTAATATGTCACTTTGTTTAGAATTCAAAAGCCTAAATAACATGACAAAAGCGCACAGGCATTCACACAATTTAGTATGAATTTCTAACTAAAATTATTTACAAATTAAAATGGAGAAGCTGAGCAATCAATCGAAGCGAAAACTAATTGAATAACGAATTTAATTTGAAATGTTTTGCAAATATTCTTAAAAAATAAATTAAAAAATATCAAAATATATAAAAAAATTTAATTCCATTTGACTGCAATCTGCAACCATACTTTATTTCTGCTTAAAAAATTACACAGTTTCATTTAACGTTTAGCTTCCAGCTTCATTCAAATAACCTAACCTTACTTTGCTGCAATTCTACTCATTTAAATCTAATAGCTTTGCAGCATGGCGCTAATTATTTTTTCGAAATCCAATGAATATATTTCAAAATGCTCTGTGAGCGCAATATTTGTTGCTTGCTTTCGAGCAAAAGCACAAAACAAAGCATACTTTTGTGCGCTAATACCATTGTTTGCTCTACACTTTGCTTACAACTCCCTGCTATGGATATGTTTGTATGTGCAGCTTCGGCTGGTCAAATTAATTTCTATTTTGCAGCGCATGCAGCTGGCGGGCATTCATTTGTTGCCGTCGGGATTAAGAGCTGCTGCACACAAATTGCGGAGAAAGAGTAATTGCTGCGCCTGACCATTTATTTCGTTCATGGCAGCGTTGCAGTTGCAAGGTGGGTAGGTGTATGTGTTCAAATGCAGGTGATTGATGCCGGCAGTTGAAATAGTAAATGGATTAATATTTCCTGCTTTTTTGTGCTGGAGCCAAACTGTGCAAATCGCTGTCGAAATGCAGACCTTTTAGCTTAATAGCTGGCAAAGTTCAGCTTTATCGCCCACAATTCAGCAAATCTGTTAATGCATATGCAAAAATATGTGCGAGTTTGTAGGTTTTATTGGTTTTTTATTAGTTTCCTTATTCGCAAGCTGATTATCAACCCAATCTGATTGATTTGTGTTTCCCAAAGTAGATTATTCTTCACTTTCTTTAATTTTGTTTTATAACCACTTCTTTGCTTCAACTTTGCTTTGGAGAATTTTTACTTCAGGCTTCCCTTGCTGTTTTGACGCATTGAAGCAGTTACATGCAACAATTCTTGCAGCGAAACTTTTGTGTTACTTTGCGAAGGAATTTGCATGCGAAATAAGTTTGACTGATGCAGTCCCCCTTTATTGGCGTTGCATTGGTTTATATAACGCAGTTAAGATTCTCCTTATTCAGAAGAAAAGCTTTTACAAAAACAGAAATACATAAAATAATCTCTGGTGTTTATTTTTCTTGAGCAAAAATACTTTAATAGGATATATGATTGTATCACGCAAGTGATGTTGTGGATCAATGAAACCTTGATGTTGTTGTAACAGCGGATGGTGCTCGAAAAACCTAAGTTAGGTAAGCAGTTGGAGTTTGGTGCTCAAAAAGAAACCCTTTACATGCTTCTCGCTCTGCTCACAGATTTATGAATAATTTGTGAGCTGGACGAAACAGTTGCATTGGGTTTTCTCACAGATGGATTGATGTTTAAAGGGAGGGTAGGATTTGCAGCTTTCTGTTGGGAGCTCCTCATCAAATCTAGTTTCAGGCTATTAACCCATTGTAGCGTATTTCAAGCGAAGGTAGTTGCCATCAAGGTATCGGTGTATATACTATTCCGAAGTTCAGACTATTTCAAAAAGTTGTGCATTCCGATCGGTGAGCGGTTTTACTGGCTGATTGAGCGCGCAACACTAGTCAAGGAATGCATGACCCCGTTAGTTGTGATCAGCAACACAAAGTGAACCATAGAAGATTCTCCCAACTACCTTCACTTAGCAAAGCCAATCTTGCCGTAATTGAAGGTGTTCCAACAATATATTTTCCAATGGACTTACACGCAGTTCATCTAAATATTTAGCGGACCCTCTTTTCCAAAGTAGACCGATAGGGATAGCAAATGACGTCATATTTTTTCCCGCTCTTTTCTCTTCAATAAGGTGTGCCATTTCATCATGGAAAAAGGTACGATCCAACAACAAGTTGAAGTTGGATCGCTCTTATTGAAAAACGCTTTACATGCAGGTAAATTTAATAGCTATTGGATCATTTCCTCTCAAGGAATCAAACTTTAACAATGTGGTTTTGAGAAAAATATGTTAAAAAAACAAAAAAATGATGTAACTTTAGAAGGCTGTAAACCAAAAACTATTTGATATATCGATTCAAAATTTTAGCATCGTACTTCTAAAGGCTTAACCTATCGAAAAAAAAGTTAATATTTTTTATTTTAAAATCAGTATTTTAGCGCTGACGAAAGCAGGACCAAATGCCCTAGGCGCCGAAATGTAGGCAATTTTTTTAGTAAGATTGATTTCCATATGCATATCATCTTCATATTCTTCAGATCTGGGTACTGGATTAAACTTCTTCTATCAATAGAATATACAAAATCCTTAAATCCTGCTTAAACATAATCCCAAAGGAGCTTTCTGGGATTACTATGGATTTGAAATAAAAATATGCGCTCTCTTACGCCACTTTCTGAAACATAATTTCATGACAGAGATGAATTCTAAAGCTTGGTTCATTTTGCGTGCGTCCATTCATAACTGTAAACTAAACTAATTCAAAACAGCCAAAACTGGGTCACGCACAATGTGAAGAGGTATGTACCTACATTTATATATAAATATATATTGTTTGTACGCTCAAATCACTATTGGCTGTTTACTTGCAAAACTAATATTGCTGTAGTATATCATAAAGTTCTGTTACCCGCCGCCTTCCCCGGCCAATACGGCACAGTTCACTGCGAAATTCTTTGCAAAGACAAGTCAATTAATTTTCGTTGATACGCTAAAGCATAAACAGGCGGCCACTAATTTATTTCCACAGAACAAAGCGGTTACGCGATTTCAAATGTGTGCGAAGCTAAACCCATTGCGCTGGCCAACAACAAAGGCACACAATAAAAGAAAGCACACAAAGCGCTGAAGAAATACGGAGAGCGCACTTATAATGACAACTTATGCTGGCTGGCTTCTAAGGCTTGACTTTGTTGTTATTGCTATTGTTGTGTCTTCTTGCTCAGCGCTGTGGTCCGCTAAAGTTTAAGTGCCTCACACATACAAACATTCTGAGGTGAGTCCTGGAGCTGAGCTGCTACAGCACCATTGTTCACGAGCGGCGGCCAACGTACCGCGAGCGGGTGAAGCCTCGCGCTGTACGTGTATGTGTGTGTGTGTGAAAAATAACGAAAATTGTCATTTGCATAAACTTGTAAAGAATTCACCACAAAAGCTGTTGGATTTGCGAAAAATTTTACAATAAAATTCTACCCGTTGGCGCGTGCTCACTGCGGCACAGGGGAGACGGGCCATATTTTGCAAATGCAAAAAATGAAAACTGGAAAACAAAATGCCGGGAAAAATAAGAAATATCTCCACTAAATAAATAAAATACCAGCGAACACTCGCTAGCTGGTGCGCTCGACTGAGAAGCAATGAAGTAGCATTAGTTATGGCCGAATTGCCTGAAGAGCGCACGGTGTGTTGTGTGGTGGGGCGCTCGACGGCGCGCAGTATCGGGGGGAGGGCAGCGTGCGCCAAATGATCGGTTTGCAGTGCAGTCGCGCACGAAAATAAACAAGAAGTTACGTAAAGTGATTGCCCTGCCGAGGTAGAGTGCTGTTGGCTATTGTGGTCGTTGTTTTTGTTATTGCCGTTATTTTTGCTACCGCTATGTTTTTCTATTTGTTGCACGCAGACTTTACATTGAAGCCAGGCGCTCTTCGGTGTACCTGCCACAACGCCCTCGCTGCCAAGCACCGCTTTGCCTATGCACCTACGCACGCCCCTCTTGCGCTGTGTGTGTGTGTTGGTGTGTGCTGCGGTGCTTGCAAGCCAACCGAAGACTTTAGTGGTATTTTAGCAGAGTTGTTTATTTGATTGTTGTTGTTTTTTGTTCAACTTTTAGTCTTTTGCTTTTAATTTTTGTGCTTTATTTTGCGCCAAACTTTCTGCCAGCTGGTGTTACCGCCCGCCAGCCATCAGTTGTGCTCCCCGTTGCTCACGTTTGGCCGCCGTGCATTGAAAAGTGGTGCGGGTTCGCAAGTTTGTGTGCGTGTGTGTGTGTACCGCCCACTTTTGCTGTAAATGCTGGTGTTTATTTTTGCGAAATAGTTTATTGTTGCATACACACAGGCGCCATGTGTGTGCACAGCA